GTGGCTTGGTACATGCAGTAACAACTGGTTTGGAGCAGTAATAGTAATTAGAAACCAGGTTTGCAGGCAGTTTGCACAGAGCATTCTCTGGAGATTTCATTTCTAGCACCTGAGTAGTAAGGTAAGAAGAGATTTACAGATGAAGGTAGATATTTACACTTGACGAGTTAATAGTTTAAACTTCAGTAGCAGTATATTTGTAGACTTGTACCAAACCTAATAATCTAGTAAGGGTAGCACAGGTGAAGTGAATGAGATTTGCTACAACCTGATCTATTCTTTATATAGTGCCTTTCTTCTGATGAGATTCCGTGCATTTGCTTCCAGTTTATAACTGGAAAATATGTAGTGGAGCGTATTAAAAATGTCAGGAGGAGGGAATTAGTTTTTATAATGATACAATGGTATTGTCTTGCTTAAATTCAACAGCTTCTTACGCGTGTTGCCAGGCAGCTGTGTATAGTATTCCCAAATATCGGTTATTTGGATGGTTAAACAGAAGAGAAGCTATTTAGTATAGAAAATCTGCCTTTAGCTTGTTGTACTTGTGTATTTCTAAAAGTAATATTTAATTAATCAGTACAAATTTGGGACACCATTCTTGTTAAAATGGAAATAGTCTAAACTCCAGATGAATCTCAACAGCTGATTTGTGCAGATGCAATTTTTTTTCTTGAAACAAGACTCTTTCTTAAAGCATGTAGAAGTGATATTTTCAGAAGAACAAGGCTATGCTCAAACTGTTTAATGGAACAGCTAAACCAGTCCCCCTGTTAAGTGTGCAAATTTGATATTTAAGGCACTATGCTCATTTTATATCAGGAACTTAATTCATAACTTGACACATTGCTGCTCTGATTTACAGTGTAAAACAGGTAATCTTAGCATGAAATTACTCATGATTCAGCTCCTCGGTTTCCAGAGATTCAACCATGAATATAATAGTACTGCATTGCTTTCAGAATAAGCAGTTGCTAAAGTAGAGTGGGAAGAGTCTTCAGTTGCAGAGATTATGTATACTTTAAGAGCTTCGCCCTAAGGATATACTTATAAGGCAAGAACCAGGATGTAACCACATGACCAACTGTAGTCTAGCAGAAACATGCTAAAGAAGGATTTGTATATAATTACAGATACATTTCAATCTGAACTTTGTATGATTTTCATGCAACCCAAATCTGCGTTAACTGTGGCAACCAATAACCCAAGAAATGCAACATGGTGGCAGTGGTGGGATTTTCCCTATAAAATACAAGGTTTTGAAAATCACAAAACCTCAGACGAGCCTTGAAGCAATGTAGAAACTACAACTACAATAGAACCCCAGAAAGAAAATCATTGCACATTGTGTTGTTGAAAAAAAGTTAAAAGAAATTCTACCTGCAGTCAAAAACAGCGCTAAACAAAAATCAGCAACTGCAGTGAGTCTCCACAGAATAATCTTAGAATAGCAAAACTACTGTATATCTGCTAGACGTCAACTGCTTTGACAAAAGGCCAGAAATTTAGACAAATGACTATCAAATACCCTAGTATGAACTGAAAGCCACAGATGTCCTGTCTGAATTTAGGCTGTTTAAACAAAGGATAGGGCTATGCATTTCAAACTTAGCTGTTGCAGATCTATATAGTGAAAATAAAGAAATCCATTAGAAGCAAAGAATTGCATAGTCAAGAAGATTCTTGAGGGTTCAAGCGAAATCCAGCTAAGCTATGAGAAATGTGAGAATATCTGCTTCGTGTAAAGAAAACTTTAGAACTCACCATGTAGAGCTGATGTCTTGCGCACAACAGCTACAAGATTCAATTGATCAGATTGTCAATAGGCACGGTGGCAAGCGTGAAGGCTCATTTTTCAGAGGCTGAGCAAAGTATAGCTTCACAACCGATTTGAAGCTTTCAATAAAGAACTTTTTGGAGAAAAACAAAGGTCACTCAATGTTAATGCATGGCTTAAAGATAGCAGAACATTTGAGCCAGACAACCAAAACTCCAAGCATTAGCTACAGTTATTAGTATTAGCATAGTAGCCATGATGCTGAAAGTAAGCAAGTTGTGTGAGAAGTGGGTCAGTTGCAAACATTGCCCTGCATTTTTAGATCTTTGCAAGTCGAATGGTGCAAAGGGTCACTGTACTTGCCTATACAAAAAGAATCTGGACGGTGAAGAAGGTTATCTCAGAGTACAACAGTACCTTGATCAGATGGACAAAAGGGCTGTGTAGTGACAGATGGAGTTTAATTTAGATAGATGTGAGTTACCGCATTTTGATAAGGCAACTCAGGGCAGGACTTGTATACTTAATGGTAATGTCCCGGGGAGTGTTGCTGAACAAAGAGACCTTGGGGTGCAGATTCATAGATCCTTGGAAGTGGAGTTGCAGCCACCAACATAAGCAACATACAGTGGGAGCATTTAAGGATGCAGTACAGCAATTTAGCAAGGCTTCTTCAACACTACTTTCAAAATGTGCAACTTCCTACCACCCTAAAAGGACCAGGGAAGAAGATACATGGTAACATCACCAGCTGAAAATTCGCCTTCAAACCACATACCATCCAGTCTGAGAAGTCTTCGAACAACACAGCAAGTGTCCCTACAGACCAGGGTCTCCAATGATACAATAAGGTGACTGATCTCCACGTACTGCTGGGCAGTTAGAGATAGGGAAGCGATGCTGGTCTACACGGTATCACCCACCTCCCATGGAAGAATTTTTTTAAAAAGTGACATGAGGAAAAGCCTTCTAGCAAGTTAAGATTTGAATGCACTGCCTAATAATAAGATGGTAGGCATAAATTTAATAATAACTTTGAAAAGGGAATTGGTTAAATACTGAAAGAAATATTGCTGGGATTTGAGCGGATAATGAGATTGGAAGTAACTGGACTGCTTTTTGAAAAAGCTGGCACAAAGTCAATAGGCCAGATTTTCTTTCTTTCTGGGACCTCAGGAGGGGCCAGAAATAAATAACTCAGTTGGTACTTTTGGCTGAAGATGGTTGTAAATGCTTCAGACTCCTGCACTGATGTGCCATCCATCCCATCTTGAAGCTTGGAGATATTTGTTGAGGCCCCTCTTGTTGGTTTAATTGTCTACCATCATTCATGACTGGATGCAGCAGGCGTGCTATACTCTGATCTGACCTGTTGGTTGTGGGATTGCTTAACTCTGTCTATTGCATGCTCTTTGCACTGTGGCATGCAAGTAATCCTGTGTTGTACCTTCACCTATGAAGGTTTGTTTTTATTTATCCCTGGTGCTGCTCTGGGCATGCCCTCCTTCATGCATCATTGAAACCAGGGTTAGTCCCTTGGTTGATGGTACTGGTAGAATGGAGTACAGGCTGGGCCATGAGGTTACTAATTGTTGCTAATGATGGGCAGAATCTTTTATCCAGCCTCAATTTGCTAGATCTGTTGAAATCCGCTCTGTTTAGCGGAGGTAATGCCATATAATGCAATTGTTGCAGTGTTCACTACTGTCAATAACAGCTGTGAACAGATGCAGTTCCAACAGGTAGATTGGTGAGGGCAAGATATCGTAGTTTTTTTCCTTTTTTGGTTTCCTTAACATATACAGCAGACCCAGACTAACAACAATGTCCTTTACAATTGCCAGCTCAGTGTTACTGGGCCACTTTTTTGATTATAGACATTGAAGTACCCCATCCAAGGTACAATCTGCTCCCTTTTCACCTTCCATCCTTCCTCCAGGTAGTATTCAACATGGAGGATTCAACATAGCTATTCATTCTCCTAGACTGACCGTTATCCACTCCTTTCTCTATCCAACTGTTTTTCTTTTTCATTGGTCTCTATCCCCTCTCCCCACCCTATCTTCTGAATAAAAACAAACTTTTTCCAGGCTACCATTAGTTGTGAAGGCAGATCACCGGACCCAAAACCTTAACTGATTTCTCTCCACAGATGCTGCCAGACCTGAGTTTTTCCAGCAATTTCTGATTTTGTTACTATTTTCCTATTTTGGCTTAACAAATACTGCAAGAGAACTGAAAGAAAACATGACATTTAAATTCTGCAATTTGTTTATGGTCGTCTAATCTGATTGATTCCTTTATCCCTCTGAATCAGAACAGTACTTTTTGACTACCGTTTCACTCCTTTATGTGCGGCTTACAACTCAAATAGTATGATTGTCAGTATTTGCTGTATGTGAGCTGTTACATCAACTATTTGTTTTGATTCATGTTGACTGTGTAATATGTGAAACAAACATATATGTAAATACTTATCTAGAAGTTAAAGGAGGCATAACCTCTCATTTAATGAATAATAATTACCGCGATGAAAAATTATTTTAGTATGTTCAGTTGGCAGCAATCAAAAGATTTTGCTTCATGTTTATAACCACCTTCTAAAGAAGCTTTGTTCACTTTTTTAAATCCTATAATTAGCAGCTTACTGGGTCAGAATCTTAAAATTAAACATTTTGTTAGGCTTGTACTAAGTCATTTGATTTAATGACCTCATGCAGCCCAACAAGCAAACCCACAATACAGGTTAAACTCTTGATTGCACCTACATTGCTGAGGGAAAAGGTACAAGAATTGCTAAAATAGAATACTTAAAAGGCAATAGAAAATTGGGAAATTTATCAGTTGTGTTGAAAGCATGTACTATAACTGAAGGATGAATCAGTCACAGCATAAATTCTTAATGTGGCGCATGTCAATATGTCTAGTTTGTTTATACTAATGCTGATGTTTCCTTTGTGAAAGCAACAAACATTAGTCACAGTTTACACAAAATTATTTGAGGGTTAACATTTTAGGTGTGGCATGAAGCAAACTGTGTTGTCATTCAGTAACTTGGATGCATTCAGTAGTTAAGTAATCCAAGAGTGAAATGGGGCACAAGTTATCTTGTTCAGTGGTTATATTATCTTCCTGATTGTAGGCAGTTACTTGAGATTTTTGTCTAATATAACTTCTTATGCAACCCTTCTAAAATTAAAAAAAAATTTCTTTCCCTTTCTAGTGGTTCAACAGCTCCTTTCAGCACACTTTTATGGAGTTTGTGAGAAACAGCAGTGGCTATTGCCCAGCACAACATAGCATCTTCGCAGACAAGTAGATCTGAACTTGAAAACCGCACTTTGGATTAGCCATCAAACGCTTTGTTTCTGACAAGATTAGGAGAGATAACAGACTTGGCCTGTTCAGTATCTCCAGTTGTGTTCCTACTGCCTTGCAATGTATCTCCAAATGGGGTGACTGAACTGCTGAATGTAAAATTATACATGGTTTGAAGGAGAGTACATAACAAGTGGGGAAAAAAAGGAGGCTGATTAAGAAGATTCAAAGAAGAATATTTCCTTTTGCTGCAATAAGAAACATACAGTCATATGAACACAGTGCGCATGTATTGACTTGGAGAGATTGGGACCATATACTGACCTTGTACTAATATACTTCTTTGTGCCACTGATTCTGACCCCCATGGCTCGGATAAATCGGCCTGCGCCTGTAGAAGTTAGTTACAAGCACATGAGGTTTCTCATTACCCACAATCCTACAAATGCCACACTGAGTGCATTTATAGAGGTGAGTTTTGAAGTGCTAAACATGTTTACAGCATTCATAATATGCCAATTGTTCAAATTATGACTCTGATTATGATTGCACAAAGAATGATTGGGTGACTACTGTTTTATGGTTTCCACCAATGCATACTTGAGAGTGCTTGTTGGTAACCCCAAAATGTACTTTGAGTGATTTTTTGAGTTTTGAGTTCTGTGAATTGATAGTTTCCTATGATTAAAAATAATAAAGATGCACGGTCGTTTGGTCAACATCAAGAATTACAAAAATATTGCAGAGCAGGAACAATAATGTTTATCTTTCTCTTAACACACTGATCCAATTCCGTTCCTTTCAACAATTCAGCTAGAATTTTTAATCTTTGAAATTCAGTATCAGGATTTTCAACTGAAGCACAGTCTGATAAAGGCCAATATTTATTATCCTTGAAAAGATAGTGAGCTTCTTTTAAAACCTCAGCATTTCATGTGGTGTAGGTACACCTGCTAAGGAGGGATTTCCAGGATTTTTGTCCCAGTGACGGTGTAGGCATGGTGATATAGAGTTATGTCTGGATGGGTATACATTTAGGAGGAAACCATGCAGGAGCTGGTGTTCCTATGCATCTGCTGCCCTTCTCCTTCCCAGTGGTAGAAGTCACAGATTTGGAAGGTGTTGTTTAAGGAGTTTAACTCTTAAGTTGGAGGAAGTATATGTTGAAGGTGTTAGATGGGGTGTTACTCAAGTGAGCACAAGAGAGACAGGTATGTTACTTATCACTGAACTCCTAACTTCTGACTTACTCCTGTAGCTACATTGCATATATTGCTAGTCCAGTTCAGTGGTAACCCTCAAGATGTTGAATCTCAAATGTTTGTGCAAGGAAGGCAAATGGATAGTTGGCCTTGAACGTAGGAAGACCGGAGTATAGATGTAGGGATATCTTACTAGAACTGTACAGGGCATAGATGAGATCACACCCAGAGTGCTATATGCAGCTTAGGCCTCCTTGTTTAAGGGATACATTTGTATTAGAGGCAGTTCACTAGTTTGATACCCAAGATGACAGTTACTTGCCTTAGAGAAAAGGTTGGGCAGGTCGTGCCAATGCTCATTGGAGTTCAGCAGAATGAAAGGTATATCCTTGGGAAGGATTCTTGAGCTGGTGACATAGTTGCAGAATAAAGAATCTGATATTTAAAATGGAAATTAGGAGCAATGTCGTCTCAGTTGTGAACCTTTGGAATTCTGTATTGCAGACAGCTGTGACGGCAGAGCCATGAAATATATTTATTGCCACATTGGACAGATTTTCAAGAATTGGGGAGTCAATGGTTGTGGGGAACAGCCAGAAAAGTGGAGCTGAGGCAAGGGTCAGATCTGCACTCTTCTTTATTGAATAGTAGAACAGGTTCAAGGGTCCTTATGCTCTATCTGCTCTTGCTCTTGTTGCTTCAGTTCTTAATGTCTAATCTGTACAGATAAGATACAATAACGATACATTTCTGTTTCAGGAAATTTATTTATTCTGAAACACTCATACATTACTCAAAAGTTAGAGGAATTTGCATTGTCTTAATCTGACTTGAAACATCTTGCACTTTCCTTCATCCTCAATCTTCATAAGTTCAAAATATGCATGTGTTTGGGCCCTTGCTGTTTTATATGAATGACTTAGACTAATGTAGGCGGTTGATCAGCAAGTTTATGGATAATACGAAAATTAGTGGCGTGATAAATAGTGAGGATAGCCTTTGACTACAAGAGGGTATAGATGGGCTAGTCAGATGGGCTAGTCAGATGGGCTGATCAGTGGCAAATGGACTTCAGTCTGGATAAACGTGGCCACATCTTGAGTATTTGTGCATTTCTGGAATCCACATTGTGGGAGGGATGTGATGGTACTGGAGGCGATACAGAGGAGTTTTACCAGGATTGTGCCCAGGCTAGAGAGATGAAGAGAGATTTAACAGACTGTGTGGTTTGTTTTCCTTTAAGAGCAGAGGAGACTGAGAGGGTACATGATCAAGATGTATAAAATTGAGGGGCATAGATAGGGTAAACAGGAAGAAACTCTTCCCCTTGATGGAGGGATCAGTGACTGGGCTACAGGTTTAAGGTTTAGAGGAGGCAGAAGGTTTAGAGGAAATGTGAGGGAAACTTATTCACCCAGAAGGTCGTTAGAATCTGGAGCTCACTGTCTGCAGGAGGCAGAAACCCTCATAACATTTAAGAAATATTTAGATGTGCATTTGCAATGCCAAGGTATATCAGGCCATGTGCTGGAAAATGGGATTAGAATAGATAGGTGGTTGTTTTTGACCGGCATGGACACGATGGGCCAAAGGGCCTTTTTCTGTGCTGCAGACATGTATGACTCTACACATAATATCTTGCAAAGAAATATGCAAGCAAAGGCCAGTGTCTGTGCAGTAGCTTAGTAATCTGATGGAAAAATGACTTTTGAGGTATGATCTTTTTTCTGATTCTGGATAAATACGTCATGAGTAAAAAGCACCATAATTCTGAGGTGGGGAATAGGGTTCCTATAGAATAAAGTAATGAATATTAATTTTGTAGTCCAATAAACCTAAAGGAAAATTTTAAACCTTTCTTGGAAGATGGAAAAGGGTTACATTCAGATTCCAGATGCTTGCTTGCTTAAATGTTCCACTCAAAATTCATCAGGCACGATATCATGGTCTGCCCACAAATTCATTTCATCAGGTGTTACTTTTGACACCATCTGCTCCGATTTCAAACCTTTTCTTGATAATGCAGAGGGCTGTGCTGATTTAGTGAATAATTCTATTTCTTAGCGTCCTTTAACCAGGACTGCAATTTCAATCTCATTACATCAGCATGCACTTAGCAGGAACCTCGAACTGCAGAGGATAAGCTCATTTTAAATTGAAGCCATCTCCATTGATGAAAGCAGAATTTTGAGCAAGTCTAGCACTAAAATACTGAGAGAAAAGCCCAGAGTTGTTTCTCATTTATTGCCATTTGAAAATGGCAATGTTTATAAGGGATTTTTTTGTGCGTAATAAGAATCTCTCAATTCTTGGTCTTCAGAATCTCCATTACTGTTTTGTTGTACTAAGTAGAGAAAATGCCTGATTATGTTCCGGTGGGGGGTGGGTTACTCATTTTAAAGGTATAGAACTGAGGCAGGTAACAATAATGGAGGCATTTTTCAACTGAAAGTAATTACCTACATTTGTAAACTGTATGAAACATTTTATAAACAGCCAACTGTTCCATTTATGGACCTTTTACAGATAGACAGCCCTGTAGTTCAGAGTTCCATGAGCTCTCCAAACTAACACTCAGAAACCTGATGTAACCTACCAAAGTTATTATAAAATGATTGGGTTTTGGTTATGGATCCCAAAATGTTCACACAGTAATTCTAATAAAAGGCCTTATTTAAAATGTGACCACATTTACTCTTTTTTTTTTTTGTTTATTGATTGAAGACCAAAGCCAAGGCTCAAACATCATCCAACTTGAGACTCCTTGGAGGGTTTTATCTTCGCCCTGCTTCAATTCAGTTTGCCACTTAAGAAACAATAGTGCAATTTCATATGGGATTGAAAAACACGGTTTGTGCTGCAACATGAACTGTAAACAATTGAAAATGTTTTTCTACATTTACAACTTTGACAGTTTTCTGTACTTTGACACTAATCATACACATGCTGGTCCACACTGTAGGGATTCTTTTCTATTAAAAACAAATGCTCAGACCTTTGAGTGTAGGAGTTGGGACATCATGTTAGTGTTGTACAGGACGTTGATGAGGCCTTTTCCAGAGTACTGTGTGTGGTTCTAGTCACCCTGTTATAGGAAGGATGTTATTAAATTGGAGAGGGTCAAGAAAAGACTTACTAGGATATTGCCAGGAATGAAGGGTTTGAGTAATAGAAATAGGTTGGATAAGCTGGGTCTTTTTTTTTCATTGGAGCGTAGGAGGTTGAGGGGTGAGTTTGTTGAGGTTTATAAAATCATGAGGGGCATAGATAAGGTGAGTAACAAGGGTCTCTGCCCTAAGATGGGGAGTTCAAAACTAGGAGGCATAGTTTTAAAGTGAGAGGAGAAAGTTTTACACAGGACACGGGCAACTTTTTCACACAGGGTGATTCGTCTGTGGAATATACTGTCAGAGGAAGTGATGGATGTAGGTACAGTTAAAACATTTAAAAAAACATTTGGATAAGTATATGATTAGGAAAGGTGTAGAGGAGTATGGATCAAATGCATGCAAGTGGGACTAGTTTAGTTTGAGAACATGGTCAGCGTGGACTAGTTGGACCAAAGGATCTTTTCCATGTTGTATGACTATGACTCTATGTAGCTGTAATCAGTAAAAATACTATGAAGTGGTTTCAAACCTGAATAAAGTAAATTGTCAAGCTAAATGGGATGGTGCAGCTTAACAGGCTGGTGAAATGCTTAATTTTGTGATAATTGATGTTTTTCTATAATGTCAATCCCAAAAATAGTGAGAATTGAAGGTTAATTAAAAAAAAAAATCAGAGTCATAGAGTTCTTAAAGCACGAAACGAGGCCCTTCAGTTCACCGTGCTCATGCTATTCTTCCAAGTCAGTCAATTCTAATCCCAGTTTTCAGCACTTGTCCTGTAACCTTATTTGGTATGGCATTTGTAACGTTCATCTATATAGTTCTTGAATGTCTAAATGGTTCCCACCTCTTGAAGCTGACAACTGAGCTGTTTATTCTCATCAGTCATGTTTCAGTCAATTGAATGGTTTAACTTGCAAAGTTGGACAGCTATTGCAGATTGCGTTAGAAAACTAATTTCTTTTTTGGTTAAAAAGAGTCATCATTTTGTTCATGATTATCAGACTAAATTTAAAGATTTTTGCCCTGCAGCCCTGTTTATTTGATGGAAGTGTGTTCCAGATACCGACCAACCTTTAGGTTATTTTAAAAAAAAATCTTCAAATCCCCTCTAAACCACCTCACATTAAGGAGCCCATCACGTTATCTGAAGGAAGTAATGGTTTCAGTTTTCAAAGCGTTGCAGAATGAAAAATTGTTAAAATACAGTTGGAATATTAACATTGAACGTCAGGAAAAAGACCCACAGAGATCTTCGAGGAAAAACAAGAAGGGAGAAGACGTTATCCAAAAGAATATTAACAAGTTTGCAGAGTGAGCAGATAGGTAGCAGATAAGGTTCAATGCAGAGAAGTATGAGGTGATGTACTTTGGTTGGAAGAACACTGAAAGGCAATATAAAATAAGGGCACTGTTCTAAAGGGGCTGCAGCCGCAGAGGAACCTGGTGTACAGATCATTGATGGTGACAGGATAGGAGGCAGTAAATAAAGCGTGCATTGTTATCAGCTCTATGAATAAGAATATAGACTACAAGGGGGTGATGTTGTACAAGGCATTTATTAGACCTTAGCTGAACTATTCTGTACAGTTATGGGTGTCACATTTTAAGAAAAATGAGAATGCAAGAGTACAGAAGCAATTGACTAGAATGCTTCCAGGTACGAGAAGCATTAGCTATGAAGATAGATTAAAGAAGTTGGGACTGTTCTTCCTGGAGAAAAGAAGGCTGCGAGGAGTTCCAGTTGAGATTTTCAAAATCATGAGTGAGCTGGACAGAGTAGATCGGATGAAGCTGTTTGCATTTGTAAAAGAAGCAATAATGAAAGGGATTTAGAGTGCTGTGCAAACGAAGCAAGAGTGTTACTAGAAAGAACTCCTTCACACAGCAATTCGTTGGGGTATGCAATGCACAACCTGGAAACGTGGTAAAGGTGGGTTTGATTGAGGCATTCAAGAGATCATTGGAGTTTTTTGGATAGTAATGGTGATATGGGGAAAAGGCAGGAAATTGGCACGAGATAATACAGCTGGTGCAGGAAATGACTTCCTTCTGTGCCATAATAATTGTATGATTCTGTGAAGCCTGTTGGTTTTGCATAACTTACTAGAAAGGTACTAGAATCATTGCTAAAGTGTTAAAGAAAATCTGGAGGCTTAGAGGATAATTTTTTTTTCTAAAAGGAAGGCATCTTTGGACCAACTTTTGGAATCTCCAAGGTTTTCTATCCCACATCGCTGCTCAGTGTTTGTCCTTTGTGGTGATGCAGGAACCTTAGAACAAGGCCTTCTGCTCATGTGTCACTCAACAACATTGATTTAACTAATCATTCCCATTTGCGTTGTGAGTGACAAATCGCAAACAGTGTTTTAGGGACTGTTACAGGGCAGGTCTGCATGCACATATCACAGGAGATAACTGGTTCCAATTCTGATCTTTATAAAGAAAAGTGCAGTACAAAATTAAGGATACTGTGCTGAACTTCTATAAATTACTGGTTAAGCATCAGCTGAAATATTGTGTATCAATTCTAGATATTACACTATAGGAAGGACATCAAGATTTTAGAGACGGTACCACAGATTAAAAACATCAGTCACACAGAGAGCTTAGAGAACCTGCGAAGCATGGATCTTGGAGCAGATAAGGCTAAAGGGAGATTTAATGAAGTCATGAAAGAATTGAAGTAAATAAGAATCCGTTTCCATTTACAATAAGATTGATGATTGGGACTATATTACCTATGGAAACATAGAAACAAATTTAAAAGTAATTCTCAGAAATAAATTGGATGTATTGTAGAAAAGGAAAATATTACAAGGTTGTGGGAGCAAGGATGTGAGACTCTTTCTTTGAATTGATATTGACATGATGGACTAAATGACTATTTTCTGTGCTATGGTAATGTTAAAATTTGCTTCTCGAGGGGAATTGGGAATGGACAATAAATGCCAGACTAGCCAAACCCCAAATGCACAAATTTTGTGAAAAAATTTTTAAAAGAATATCAGGCAGACTGATGTTGAAAATTAACTAACTCTTTTCAATTAAAACTAAATATTTGCTTTTCAACCTATCGTCCAACCAGCAAGAAAGTTTGAATATGGACAAAATGTAAAAAAACTGCTGTCAAATTTTACTTGTTCCTGTTTCTGAAATAAGGGCCAACTCCAGCTACATTTGAGTTTCTTTTTAAAACTGAGCATCCAAAAGATCTGAATTTGAGTTAAGTTTGCAGTCTTTTCTAAAATTGGAAAAACCATCTCAAGCAAAATAAAAACAAGAGTATCTGTGATTCCTTCAGCCATCTGTCTTTTCCTGTATTGTTTGAAATAGTATGTTTCATTGTGTTCATCACTCCTTTAGGAGCTACAAAAATATGGTGTGACCACTCTTGTGAGAGTATGTGACGCCACGTATGACAAGACTCCACTGGAGAATGAAGGTATTGATGTAATCGTAAGTATGAAGTTTCACTTTAACTTCCAGTTGGTTAAAGCAATTCTATGAACTTTTCCAGATAAAATGGAAAAATCTAAACACTGAACTGAGCAAAATAGTGAAAACCTGTTGTTAATGAATTGTGAATAAACTAAGCGTTGCAAGCTTGCAATCTCAGAAGGGTTATTCTGAGGAAGGGTCACTGGACCCGAAACATTAACTCTGATTTTCTCTTCACAGATGCTGCCAGATGTGCTGAGCTTTTCCAGAAGCTTCTGTTTTTATTCCTGATTTACAGCATCCGCAGTTCTTTTGATTTTTAAAACATGATGAGGCTTGCTTTTGTCCTTTTGGACATAGAAACTAGGAGTGAGAGTAGGCCAATCAGCCCTTCAAGTTTGCTGCACCATATAATATGATTATGGCTAATTCTTTACTATGATGCTATATTACACTTTCTCACCACGCCCTATGATGGCTTTAATATCTAAAAATGTATCTATCTCTTCAATATATTTAGTGACCTGCCCCCCATGGCTTCCACAGAATTCCATAAGTTCAGTACCGTTTAAGTGAAGAAGCACCCCTCGCCTCAATATTAAATGGCCTACCCCGTATGTGTAGTCACCACAATCCCAGAGGACCATAAGGCTGCACTCTCATCAGAGAGAGAGAGATGACTTCTGGCCATTTAACCTGAGGGTCACCACACCTTAGGCAAGAGGAGAGGTTGAGATGCAAAGTCCTTCTTAACTTCAAACAGTGTGGCAGTTGAATATTGCAACATTGCATTACAAACCAGCCATCTAGGCAACTGAGCTAATCTGTTTAGTTCTCTACCTTTATTCAAAAGCCTTCCAAACAATCAGCTTTTGATGTCATTATGCCCCTATCTCACCACCGATGCCTTCCTATGTGTTTCATTCTCGCATTTATTATTATAACTTTATTTTATCAGACACTTTTTTTCAGGAGAATAGATAAGTTGTAATGTTTACGAAAATGTTTGCAGTCACTTCGATCTCATCTGTGATGATTAAGTTATAACTGATCATTCTTACTGCGCCATAGAACAACCTGCTGTCGAGGCGTGTTTTTGGAGTCCTAGTAAATATTGAACTGGATTTGTCTAGGAAATATGCCATTCTGTAATGTCTTCTGCCAAGATCTGACTTTGCACTCACTTAAAATCCATTGAAAGTTAATAAGCATATTTCCACCCTTATTAAAAATGGCCAATAGAGCCATACATTATGGAAACAGACCTTCCAGTCCACCTAGTCCACGCCAAGCACATTCCCAAACTAAACTAATGCCACTTGCCTGAGTTTGGCCTATATCTTATCAAACCTTTCCTCTTCATGTACTTATCCAAACATCTTTGAAATGTTGTAACTGCATCCACCACTTCCTCTGGCAGTTCGTTCCACAGACGAACCACCCTCTCTCCTTTTTTTCATAACTTTCTTCTCTCACCATAAAAATATGCCCCCTAGTTTTGACCCCTCCCACCCTAGGGAAAAGACCCTTTCTATTCACCTTATCTATTTAAACCAGTTTTCATTGCATTGTTACTTTAACTTAAATAATCCTATTTTTATGTTAATGCTTCCAAGAAGTTTCAACTCTCAGTTCTTAATTGGACTCAACAACTAATCTCTTCTAAGTAGCCACCTTTGTATCTGGAATTTAATTTTTTATATTGCTATGCCAAATGTCTGGAACCCAACCAGTTTAAAATTTGCATTCCTCAATCTGTCATTTTGAGAACTTTTATAACAAGTGAAAAATTGTCAGTTGACTTCTCTGGCTCATTCCGTTAAAATAAAATTTGTACTTCATGAAAATAAAAGCCATGTACAGTATCTCTGTAAAGAGAAACATGCTGCTGAAATTTTTCATCTTGTATTCATTCTGACAAATGCAAGAATGCCAAATTTCAAACCATCACAACAATTTATACTATTGGAGAAAAAAGGGACACTGAGTAGTTGGTATGTCAACTCTAATTAGACGAGGTGTTGCTATTAGAGATACCAGCTTTCCCGCCCTCCAGTTAATTCAGAAAAAGGTGCATGGCTTAAATGTATTCTTTTCTTTGCAGAGGATGCATTCGCACATATGAATTTATATCACTTCCAGCAGGCTGAAATGAGCCAAGCTTGAATTTGATTTGATTACCTTAAATTAGTTGTCAATGTAGATATAATTGCAATCCAGATTGTTCAACATCTGTTGGCTGTTCTTAGAATCACATCTAACAGTAGACAGTTTACTTGGGTTTAGCTGGTTGAGTACAAACTGTACTCTGCCTATTAAGACCAGCCAAAGGAACATGTTTGATTTGATGAGACAATCATTGGGACACATCAGCCTGTGTATTTGGCAATACACAGGTGCTGATGTTCAAACATGACCTTTTCAATTGTGTTTTTGGACTGACTGTAGCATCTGGTTGGTGGAAAGTAACACTCGAATCACCGCTGCCCAGTTGCAGCACAAAACCGCCTCCTTAACCTCTCATGCAAATTTCTGAAATACTTTGCCTTTCAAGAGTACTTGGAGGTAGACCAGGCACTTTTTAAGGCCATATGGTAGACTTTTGGCTATTTGCAACTTTACATGTTATAAAGTGAACAATGTTCTGATCAAGATAGCCTTGATCTTGCAAGAAATAATAACTGTTCTCTGCAAACAAAAGGAATATGTTCATATCTTGCATGGTGTTGAAGTTACCCAGGAGCATGGAGAGCCTTTAGTTCCCCGCTGCTTTTACAATGGCCACACCTTGAGCAACTTACTAACCAATGACCAACCTGTTCCCAAGTAAATTGTGATCATTTGCCATTTAACATGTTTGCATTTGTCCTGATGTGTGCAAGGTGAAGAGCTAGTTAACGGGAAGCAATAGAGTTAAATGTTCTGAGGAAGGGTCACTCAACCCAAAATGTTAACTCTGATTTCTCTCCATAGATGGTGCCAGACCTGCTGAGCTTTTCCAGCAATCTCTATTTTTGTCAGAGATAAATGCTCACTTTTGAGTTGGCAAAATTTGAGTTGTCAACTTGGCATGGCATGGCATAGGGTTTGGTGCTGGGACCTCAAATCTTTATAATCAATATCAATGACTTGGGGACTGAATGTATAGTTGCAGGAAATTGTATGCCCTCCTATGAGGGAAAATTTGCCTGGTCACACTAGTTAACCCATTTCGGTTAAGTCTTAACGTGTAGGTGACAACTGAGGACCCCACTCTTTCCTCAAGACATGACTTGGATTATCTTACCAATTAACTTTAACCATCAAGAGGACCCTGCGTTGCAGTGAAGGCGTGTCTCTGGTGACTATGACCTGGAATACGCTGTTTCGTTTAAGTCCAACTATGCAGTTGACCCACCCCATCCTCAAGACATGTTTTGGAGTGTTTCCCAGTTTATTTAACCACCCAAGAGATTGCTTGCCTAGCCTTTACATTAAGGTGGCTGTGATCATCCTGGGATTGCAAAACTTATTATTCCAGCACCTACTGTCCTTTGACACTCAGTGGACCCTTTCTTTTAAGATTCGGACGTGACACCATAAGGGGATACGGAAGAAGCCAGGGTTGCAGGTTACTTTGACTATATGATACTCACATAATCTGGTCCCTTTACCCATTGGTCCACATTTCTCACGTGCTGCTCACAGTGCCAAATTGTTGGGACAGAATGATTAAATGAATCACTTGATACTCGGTTGTACTTCATTGTTAAAGGGCTTTGTTATTTTGCACTACTGGGAAGAAAAGCTTGGGAGAGGGTGTCCAAAAGCTGCTTCACTGAACAAAGGGAAACATACACTTTTTATACATTGCTTTTAGCCTGCCTTTGCTGTTACAAACCAATCGTGTTATTAATCGATTAGATATGTAGGCAATCGGGTTAATGTTGCGACTGCCTGATCAGTCGTCAGACAGATTGCATGATGTTTACCAGACTGTCTTATCACCCGTAATCTGTTCTGGTTCATCCACATTGATATTACATTAAGAAAGCCTTCTTAGGAAGTATAGGCATTGGTGTGCTAAATAAATTTGGCGTGTCCACAATGACTCTTACCAATCTAGATGCACCATAGAAAGCATCTTGTGCGGATGCATGACAGCTTGGTATGGCGACTGTTGTGCACAAGACCGCAAAAAGTTAGAGTTGTGAACACAGCCCAGTTCATCTCGCAAACCAACCTTCTAACCATTGAGTCCATCTATATTTCCCACTGCGTTGGGAAAGCAGTCAACATAGGCAAAGACTCTCCCACCCCGGTTATACTGTCAAACACTGTCTTCCGTCAGGCAGAAGATGCAAAGTTTGAAAACATGTACCAGCACTTTCAAGAACAGCTTCTTCCTCACTATTACCAAATTTCTGAAAGAACCTCTCATATATTAAAGTTGATCTTTCACTGTAGCTGTAACATTATATTCTGCATTCTGTTCTATTAATCTGATGCACTTGTGTAAGATGATTTGCCTGGATAGTGTGCAAAACAATACTTTACACTGTATCTTGGTACATGTGACAATAATAAATCAAATCAAATACCTTTCTTTGGGCCTTCACAATACATCTTATTCAACCACATTACAGGTTTTAACTCCTGCGCCAGTTATTCAGTTTTCCTCTGCTAAGATAGCAAGGGGGCTTCTCTGCCTCAGACTGAATATCCACAAGAATACTGTTTAAACCCCTGAATGCCTATATACTACTATTGCATACTGTTTACATTTTTTTTTGTTTGTATGACCTGTGGCTACAGTACCTGGGGGTCTTAACTGATGACCAATACCGGGTTGGGGCAGCACGGTGGATCAGTGGTTAGTACTGCTGCCTCACAGCGCCAGGGACCCAGGTTCGATTCCACCCTCAGGCGACTGTGCAAACTCCACACAGACATTCTCTCCATGTCTGCATGAGTTTCCACTGGGTGCTTCAGTTTCCTCCCACAGTCCAAAGATGTGCAGGCTAGGTGGATTGGCCATGCTAAATTGCCTACAGTGTCCAGTGGGGTGTAAGTTAGGTGGATTAGCCATGGTAAATGCAGGGTTACAGAGAAAGGGTAGGGGGATGGGTCTGGGTGGGATGCTCTTCAGAGGGGCAGTATGGACTTGTTAGGCCAATTGGCCTGTTTCAACGCTGTAGGGATTCTATGATCTTCTGTGACCAGAGTTTGGACCAGCCTGAAAACATCTGTCAACATCTGTCAAAGATATTTCTCATCAAACTCTCTCTGTGCAAGCAGCTGCATGTACTTCTGTGTAACCAAGCCCATTGTATACATTTCAAAGAACCCTTTGTGTGTTACCTTTATCTAGTTACCTTGAATGTACTCCCTCTATGAAGGCATCTAATTACTCCAGCTTATAGCTTGACTTAAAACCGGAAACTGTGCAAGCTGCTGTGTCAGCTACAAATCTTCCTCAGCCATTTTATGTTAGCTGCAAATGGTTTTCAGCTATGGACAGTTTTACAGTTTTACTTTTCAACGCAGCTTAAATAACTCCTCAAAAATATGATTCCTTATTTTTAATGAAATATTTGTACTATAAAAATATAATGTCTGGACTTGTCTAGTTAAAATTTCCATTGAGTCTGGATGTAAAATCTCTAATGCCTGATGAGGTTAGTTTATATCTTAATACATCGGTCTGCTGCTATTTACTAAGTTGCAAGTTATCACATGCAGGAAGTTCAGTTATAGTGTTGTCAGTATTGCAATTCTTCTGACCTGTGCAATAGACTGTACATTTCATCAAATTGTGGTTTGAAGACACATTTCCTTCCTGCAGTCGAACTGGAATTGTTGTTTATTTTAAAGTTTAACGAATCAGCCTGTGTTGTTAGTTGAGCCTTTGATCTTAAAAAAAAAATAAAGCACTCCCATTTTTGGTCTGTTAATTGTTCAAATGTTATGTTATGTAAGCAAGGCATCACTTCATGTGAATAGAAGTATGACTTGTATATACACGTAATATAGCTCTACCCAAGTTAAAACAACAGGGCTTGTATACTTTTGCAAATGGCACAAGCGTGCTGAAATCATATTAGTCTTTGAATAAGAGAAAGCTGAATGTGCTGTTAGCACCTGTGATTTATGACTATAATGGATGCATCAGGTTTACTTGAAAATTGCATAACAGATTAGTAAAGAAAGTATGAAAAATAACTTGCATCTCCTTAGTTCGTGAAGGAAGAAGGTGTGGTTTCAATTAGAGCATGGGCTATTTGGTCCAGGGGGCTCAATATTACCGAGGGGTAGGGCAGGGTATTCCCTACGCTGGGATATATGTGAGGGTGAGCCCTCTACACAGCACCTCTCCCTGCAGCTATTTAATGGTTGTCAGGTCATTAGTGTGGCATGCCTTCTGTGACTAATAAACAGTATGTGCAGAGTTACTCGAGATTGTGAATGAGAGTCGGCAACGATTGTTCTTTAACAGGAAAGATCAATTATATATGAGCAAAATACTGTTAATACAGGAAATCTGAAATTAAAACAAAAAAATTAGAAACTCTCACCACATCTGACAGTATCTGTTTGAAAACAGTTAACATTTCAGGTCACTTTTTGTAAACTTGAGATAACTATCTCAATAAACTTATGACATGATGAACACAAAAATAATGTAATCAGCTTTGTTCATTTCCCTTCCATTTGCCTGCCTTCTATATATCTAAGTTTATCTGCTTTCACCTACAAGGTGGTTCCTTAGTGACCACAGCATGAATAGTGGACCTTCTATCAAGGAGACTGCAGATGACCAAGTAAGACATCCTTGAAGTTCTAGGCCTAGAAACAGCTTCAGACTGTACCATCTCAGTCTGGGTTGCTGCAAACTGAGCTGTCTAACTGTTAGACAATCGCATGGGCATTGGCAGGGTAGTAAGTATTGGAAGAGAACGTCAGCTTCCTGAGAGAAGACAGCAGGTTCTTGCTGCAGAAAGCCAGGACTTATTTTCTAGCATGGGGTTCAGCGACCCTCCTGATTTGTTAGAAAACAAAGAAAGTAGCTTCCAGCCTCAGTACAGCGTGCTGGCAAGGCACCAAACATCCAAATTCCCTTCCTGGTGGCCCTTCCTGAAAACCCCAGAGGTTTTGCACTTCTCCAGGTTCCTACCCAACCAATCTATATATGAGCCTTAACCTGCCCATTATCTGCAAAACACCCCCGCCAATCCAGCTCATGACATTTGAGCTGACAGTGTCAGGTCTCAACCGTAACTTGGTAAGTAGCACCTTTGCCACTGAGTTAAAATAGTGTGGTTTCAAATTTCACTTCAAAGCCTAAAATCAAATTATAGGCTATTAATCGAGTATTGTGGGGGGGAAAGGGTGGTTGGAGAGTCCATTTGTACTCTTCTTTAAACCAGGTTTTCTGTATTGCTATAACTGGTGAGCTTTGCAGCTCACCAACCTCATTTATGCGCCTAAACTATATCTTAACTGCATCCTTTTTTGACATACCCTATGTAGTACCAAATGTAAATACAAGGTACTGCAACTGCTGGAGAAAATCAATAGCCAGGCAGCATCTGTAGAGAGAGAAACAAGGTTAACTTTGCAAGTCCAACATAGCTTTTCTTTGGAGTTGAAGGGAGCTTTTAGGGGCTTTTATGATGTAGAATGGGAGTTGGGGGGTGGGTGGGAAAGATGAGGAGCAGATGGAATAGATGGGAAAAATGTTATGGAACTAATTAAAGACATTGCTTGTTCTTTCAAGTTCAATTTTGGGACACTAGTCTAGATTCTTTACAAATGCCTTTATGGAAGTCATGATTCATTAGATATTAAATATATCTTAATGTATATCATTCTTATAAGCAGCTTATGTTGTATATCTGGACATGTTGATAGCAAAGTCATCTTCATTGCAGCATAAAATCATATGTTTTACTTGTATCCTTTAACCTTTTAAGGATTGGCCATATGACGATGGTGATCCACCTCCAAACAAAGTTGTGGATGACTGGCTTAATTTGCTTAAAACTAAGTTCACCGAACAGCCTGGTAGCTGTATCGCAGTCCATTGTGTTGCTGGTCTTGGGCGGTAAGTATGCAAAAGTCAGCAAATGTCTTTATTGATGACATTATTTATGTATTTTTTTTGAAGGGAAGTTGCTTTTCAATATAGCAATAAAAAGGACTGTTTCTTTGTCAACAAAACAACATTTAGAAAATCTTGTATAATGTCTTTAAACTCACTATGTTAACAAAGATGGCTTAAAGAGATAACTCAGACAAGGTGCAGGAATAAGGAAGAAGGGGGTTGTGAATTTGTATGGTCAAAGAAGCAAGGCTTAGCAAATAGCAAGTGGAGGAATTTTAAAGAGACAATTCTAAAATGTGATTTGTGAACTATTCTGCCAAAATAGAGATAGAGAACAATATGGCTGAAGTACAGTAGAAAAAAGACCAAGGCTTCGTCAGCCGCACCTTGCAAAACTCTGCTGTCTCAAAGAACAAAGGCAGCAGGCATATAGGAGGAACCACCGGTTGTAATTTCCCCTCAAGCCATTCATCATCCTGACTTGGAAATATATTGCTATTTTTTTCATTGTCACTGTCGAAATCCTGGACGTGCCTTCCCCACAACACCTGGGTGTACTTGCATCACACGTATATTTCAACTTATATTACAGAAGTTGAAATAAGTCGCTGATCATCACCTTTTTGAGGGCAATTAGGGATGGGAAATGAAGGAATAAAGTAAAAATTTGTTGTAACGTGTAAGGCTAATATTTCAAAAATAAGCACATTTAAGGGGATATGAAAGCAGAGCCCACTGAAGTGAAATGTCAAAGTAGGTTAAGGAATATATCAATAGAGGTGCGGTGGCAGATTCTTGAAATTTCAAAATGTACAAATTGGATACATTCCAGGAGGAAAGGAATATTTTGAAGGGAGGAGCCACCATCCGTGGTTAACTAAAAATGTTAAATATAATATCAAACTTAAAAGCATATAATTTCTAAGATGGCATGTCAGAAGATTGGACAGAATATGAAAACATCAAAAACTAAAAGGTTGAAGGTTTGAAGATTGCTAAAAGATTAATAAAGAGGGAAAATATTAGAAAATGAGAGAAAGCTAGCTGAAAATATAAAAGCTGATCATTAATTTAGGGGAAAAGTTAACAATGGATGATCCTACAGGAAGTGAGTCTAGGGAATTAGTAATGGAACATAATGTGGCAGATGAATTGGACAGATATTTTGCATCAGTCTACACTTGCAAATATGAATAACATCCTAGAAATAGCTGTAATTTTAAGAAGAAAACATTCATGGGATGTGGCATAGCTAAGCCAGCATTTATTGTCCATCCGTAATTACCCAGAGGGTAGTTTACAGTCAACCACGTTGCAGACAGTCTGAAGTTGCATTTGGACCAGGTCAGGTAAGAATGATCGACTTCATTACCCAAAGGACATTACTGTACTAGATGGGTTTTTAGAACATTTGGTGCTGGTTAGGCAAGCTTTTTTAATTCGAGATTTTTTTCAAATTCATTTTGTTTTAATTTGTTTGAATTCAAGAATTTTTTAAAAATCAGGAAATCGGAGGGAGGGTGAAACTCAAAATTACCAATGAAGTGGCACCGAGCAAATTGTTGGAGCTACAGGCTGACAAGATCCTGTCTCTTAATGTACTTCATTCTAGGGTCTTAAAAAGTGGGCTGTGAGAATTTTTCAAACCTCCCTTGAGGTTCCATTAGACTGTAAAATAGAGGGAGATAGAAAGAAGGAAACTGTTGGTTAGTTTGCTTTATACCCGTCATAAGGGAGGTATTAGAAGCTGTTTCTAAACTGTAACAAGGCACTTGGGGGGAAAAAACTCAAGGTTATCGAGCAAAGCCAACTTAATTTAGTAAAAGGGAAGTCATGTCTTAACAAATTTGTTGGAATTCTTTAAGGAAATGACACTTGCTGTGATTAAAAGGGGACAAATGAATGCCCTGTATTTTGATTTCCAAAAGGCAGTTGTTAAGTTGCGCATCAAGGGTTATTGCAGAAAATAGGGGTTAACACTGCCATATGTAGAAGATTGGCTAACTACAATTAAACAGGTATAAATGGGTATTTTCTGGTTGAAAAGGTGTAAAGAGTGTTGTGCCACAGGAATCCATGCCAGGCATCAGATTTTGCAGTTTATATAAATGACTTGGATAAAGGTGCCAGAGATCTGGTTGCTGAATTTATTGGCTACTCAAAGATAGGTAGGAAAGTAAGTTGAGAATTGGATATAAAGAGACTATAAAGGGATATAGATAAATTAGGTGGGCAAAGAACTACCAAATGGACTACAATATGGGGAAATGTGGAAATTGTCCACTTTGGCAGGAAGAATTTAAAAAAAGCAGATTATCTTCATGGTGAGAGGTTACAGAATTAGAATCCCTACAGTGTGGAAACAGGCCCTTCGGCCCAACAAGTCCACACCGAACCTCAGAGCATCCCACCCAGATCCATCCCCCTATGACCCACCTAATATACACCCTCTACCTCCCTGAACACTACAGGCAATTTAGCATGGCCAATCCGCCTAACCTGCACATCTTTGGACTGTGGGAGGAAACCAGAGCACCCGGAGGAAACCCATGCAGACACTGGGAGAATGTGCAAACTCCACACAGACAGTCGCCCGAGGCTGGAATCGAACCCAGGTCCCTGGCGCTGTGAGGCAGCAGTGCTAACCACTGTGCCACCGTGTCGCCCGTAACACAGAGCTCTAAGATGTAAAGGGATCTAGGTGTATTAGTGTAAGCATCATCTAAGGTTACTATGCAGATTTGGCAAATAATTAGGAAGGTTAACTGACTATTATTGTTTATTGCAAGAGAAATTGTGGTCAAAAATGGAAGGTTATCCTTCAATTACAAAGGACTTTGGTGAAATGACATCTGAATTTCGTGTGCAGTATCAGTCTCTATTTGTGGACGAAAGGAAATGCATTGGAAATAGTTCTGATAGAGTTCAGTAAAAATTAAAGCTGGAGTCGGTGGGTTGCCTTATGTGAAAACGTTAGGCTGTCTAGGCTTGTATCCACCGGAGATTAGAAGAACAAGAGATGGCTTGATTGAAATGTAGTGATCCTGAGGAGTCTTGAGAATGTGGCTTTGGAGAAGATATTTCCTACTGTGGAAGAATCTAGAACTGGGAATAGGTTTAACAATGAGAGGAGAGATTGTACAATTCAGACACAAGTGAGGGAATATTTTCCCTTGCCAATAGTCCTAAGTCTTTGGAATTCCTTCTCAACAAGTAGTGTATTGTAGAACCTTTGAATGTTCTTATGGCAATGGAACATAGTTTCTTAATTTTTCACCATTTTGCTCATCATCGGTAGATGAGAATATACTGTAATTAGATCCACCATAAATCTTACTGAATGGCAGAACAGGCTGAGTGACCTACACCGCCTAATTCTCATGTTTGTGTGTTTCAGTGATAGGGTAGGGTTGGGAATAGAAATCAGCAATGTAGAATGATCACAAGGTGATTAAGACGCTGTAAGTAATTTATGTTCCCAGAGATTTACTGAATAGGTAGAATATATGGATGGTTCTCATCTTTTAAAAGAGGGAAATGTAGGTACACGCTTATGTAGGAGAAGTGGAAGTGTGGCATTAAATTGTATTTATTTTGCAAGAGGCTGGTGCAGGATGGGGTAAATTTTGACTCTCTTAAATGGTTGTAAGTTTTATGTCGCACCAAGTCTCGGTCTATCCCAATATACTAGCTGGCTTCCCCTCTGGGCTTTGAAATTGTATGATTGTGCATTATTCCATATGCAGTCTCACCAAGATATTTACATGGTTAAAGTAATTTTTTGATTTAGAAATGCAGTAAAGTGCTAGAATGTATTTCTTCCCAACGGCCGAATCTTGAGTGGTCAGTAATACCATACTAGTGTTTTCCTTCCTCATCGTAAAAAAAAATCTGTTTTGAGATATGTATGCATTTATGATCTGCTGATGTGCATGATCTTTATCCACATTAATATTCATTCAAGTGCAAAACACTGGATGCTAGAAATCTGAAACAAACAGAAAATGCTGGAGAGACTAGGCAAGTTTGACAGTATCTTTGGAGAGAGAAACACAATTAACTCAAGTTCTGAAAGAAGAGAAACCCTACTAGCCAGACCTGTTAAGTTTCTCCAGCATTCTTTGTTTAATATTAATCTGCCTTATCAATATGTCAGATTACTTATGTACAGTCATGTATATTACAAATAGGCAATGTTCTATGCTGCAATAGCTGTGACTCATTTGGTAGCGTTTCCAACTTCGAGTCAAAAAGGATTATTGGGTAACATGTTGTTTGATTTAACAATAAATATGTCAGCTGATGTTGCATTGAACTGCTAAGAGAGTGTTATACTGTCAAAGGATATCAGAGAATCACAGAAATGTTACAGTGCAGCAGGAGGTCATTCAGCCCGTTGTGCCTGCACCAGCTTGTGAAATGAGTGTCATAACCTAGTGCTATACTCCTGGTTTTTCCCCATAATCTTGCACATTATTTTTATTCAAGTAATCGTCCAGTGCCCTCTTAAATTCCTCAATTGAACCTGCTGTGGTGGCAGTGCATTCCATACTCTACTTACTGAGTAAAAAAACTTTTCTTTGTTTAGCCTCACTTCATTTGCAGGTCACTTTTAAAGCTGAGGTTTTAACTAATTTTAAACCAAGAGACCTATTGCTGCTGCTTTCTTGGGTTGATGTAATTCATATCAGAATTTTATTTAATTAATTGGGAAATGCTTTTGGGATATCCTAGGATTGTGAAAGGCACTATGTAAATGCAATCGTTTTGTTTCTTTTCTTATGCTTACATTAACTTGTTTTAAACACACAGGGCTCCTGTATTGGTAGCAGTTGCTCTTATTGAAAGTGGAATGAAGTATGAAGATGCGATTCAATTCATCAGACAGTAAGAGCCTTTTGTTCCTGGAAAAATTATTAACTGGTTTATACAAACAGAAACATGGCAAAAAGGAACAGGAGTAGGTCATTTAACCCTTCATGCCTGCTCCACCATTCAATATGATCATGACTGATTTATCCAACTCAGTACCCTGTTCCCATTTTCTCCCTACACCCTATGATCCCTTTAACCCTAAGATCTATATCAAACTCCTTGTTGAATACATTGTGTTTTGATGTCAACTGATTTCCGTGGAAGAAGTTTTCACAGGTTGACTCTGGATGAAAAAAATTATTTTCATCCCAGTCCCAAATGGCCTATCTTGCACCCTTAGACTGTGACTCGTGGTTCTGGACTCATTCTTCCTGTGTTTATCCTGTCTAGTCCTGGTGGAATGTTATAGGTTGCTGAGATTCTTTCTTCTAACTCTTCTAAACTGAAGTTTAGTCCTAAATGATCTAGCCTCCTTTCTGGTCTGGTCTGCCATCCCAGGAATCAGTCTGGTAAATCTTCATTGCACTTCCTCCATTGCCAGAACATCCTTTCTCAGATAAGGAGACCAAAACTGCACACAATACGGCAGGTGTGGTCTCACCAAGGCCCTGTACAGCTGCAGCAAGACATAATGCGTCTATACTTCTAATCATCATGCTATGATGGCCAACATACCATTTACCACCTTTGCTGCCTGCTTCACCTGCATGCTTACTTTCAGCGACTAGTGTACATAGACACCTAGGTCTCGTTGCACTTTCCCCCTTTCTCAATCTGTTACCATTCATAAAATAATCTGCCTTCCTATTTTTGCTACAAAGTGGTGAATCTCACACTTAATCACATTGTAATGCAGCTCCCGTGCATTTGCCCACTCTCTCAACTTGTCCAAATCACAATGAACTATCTCTGCATCTCTTACTGCTTACCCTCCTACCCAGTTTTGTCATCTGCAAACTTGGTGATGTTGGATTTAGTTCCTTCATCTAAATCATTCATATATATTGTGAATAGTTGGGATTCAAGTACTGATCCCTGCAGAACCCCACTAGGCAATGGCTGCCACTCAAAAGAGGGCCTGTATGTTTTTTTTTTTTTTTTTGTTTCCTGTCTGCCAACCCCTTATCCATGTCAGCGCATTACACCAAGTGCCATGCACTTAAATTTTACATGCTAATTTCTTACATAGGACCTTATCGAAAGCTTTCTGAAAGACAAAGTAAACCACATCCACTCGTGCCCTCTTGTCAACTCAATTAGTTACATCCTTGACAAATTCCAGCTTTGTCAAGGGTGTTCCCCCTTGCATAAATTGATGAGGTAGGGGGAGGGGGTCGGGGTCGATGACCTGATGGTATTATTGCTGGACTGTTAATCCAGAGACCTAAGTAATATTCTGGGGAGCTGGGTTTGAATCCCACCACGGCAAAAGGTGGAATTTGAATTCAATAGACTCTTGCTTCCAGATGTTTTAATGATGATTGTGAATCTGTTATCAATTGTCAGAAAAATCCACATGGTTCACTAATGTCCTTTTAGGGAGGAAACTGTCATCTTTACCTGGCCTGGCCTACATGTGACTCCAGACCCACAGCAATGTGGTTGACTCTTAACTGCCCTCTGAGCAATTGGGATTGGCAATGAATGCTGGCCTAGTCAGCAACGCTCACATGTCTTGAATGAATGAATAAAAAAGATCCATGCTGACTCTCATCTGATTCTGTCACTGTTTCCAATGGTTCTACTATTAAATCTTCTATTATTGACTCTAGCATTTACCCTGCTACAGATGTCAGGTTAACTGATCTACAATTAATGTATGAATTATTCTAGTATTCATTGCTATCAAACCTGCAGAAGGGAAACTTTACCTTGCTGTTTTTGACAAATAAACCCTGACACTGTGCAGCATGCAAAGAGCATCAGAGTTTCTGGTATTAACTTCTGCATGCATGGACACATACTGACATTTTCTTTACTGTAAAGTTGCAGATGGGCCTCCCATATTGGGATTTCCCCCTACTCAAACTGAACAGACAGGAAAGTCTTTTGAATTCCCAGCTGTGGCTAAAACAGCTCCACCCATCCATTCTCCACCCCACCCCCAGTGTGCAACATGATCCTCTTATGATGCAATAAAACACGCAAGCTGCGTCCTCTGTCCATTGCAGAGCTGCCAAAATTGTTGATATGTTTAACCTTAAACAAAATACAGCCTTGTATTTGCTTTTCCCTTGGTCATAGAGCTATACAGCATGGAAACAGACCCTTCTGTAATAGTAAGACAGTTAAGTTCAGTTGAACAAGTGTATTCATATTTCATTACTCATCCTGCACTGTAGCATTTTAAAATACTGTTTGCAGCTGGTACTATGAATAAAAAATTGTTGAAACGAGCTGAATAACGATAACTGACAACCTGTCCTGGACTTCCCACATAAATGTGAGTCAAGAAGGCACAACAATGCCTCCTCTTCCTCAGGCAGCTCAGGAAATTTGGCATATTGATAAGGAGGTCGCTCACCGACTGCTACAGATGCACCACTGAAAGCATACTGTCAAGGTGCAAAATGTCCTGGTACGGCAACTGCTCTGCCCACAACCATAAGAAACTACAGAAGATGGTGTACACAGCCCATTCCATCACGGAAACCAACTTCCATCCATGGACTGTTTGCATGGCTCGCTGCAGCATGAATGTGGCCAACATCACCAAAGACCCATCGCATCCTGGTAGTAACCTCCTACGAACTCTTCCATCAGTCAGAAGATATAGAAGCCTGAACGCATGCACGAGCCAGTTCAAGGACCGCTTCTTTCAGGCCGTTATCAGACTGTTGAACGGACTCGAGCCTCAAATAATGTAACCTGCAATATAAGCTGTATGCCTCTGTGCATCCTTTGCTTGCTGTGATCTGCCTGTACCGCTCGTTAACAAAGCTTTTCACTGTATTTCGGAACATGTGACAATAAATCAATCAATCAATTCTCCTGCATTTGACATTAGAACAACAAGGATACCCGTGAATAACTGGTGTTTAAACTGATCACATTTGTGATATCAAGCTGACATTCTACATTTCTTTTCACTTTTTTTCTGCTTTTTTTAAATAGGAAACGCAGAGGTGCCATCAACAGCAAACAGCTCTTATACTTGGAAAAGTATCGGCCAAAGATGAGACTTCGATTCAAGGCCCATAATAATCACAAGAACAATTGCGCCATCGTATGAATTTGAACACTTTCAGCCAACAATGGTTTACAGTGATTTTTATAAAAAATAAAATGCCATTGGGTTTCCTGTCTTCAAATCCAATTGGATGGTTTTTTTTCTGCCTTTAGTAACTTGAATATTTATTTATACTAAAATCACCAACTAGAACGAAGCACAATTTTTTTTTTGGAGGCTTGTGGACTCTGGTTACAAGTTGTAAGAATATTTACCTTTAGAGATATGTTAATACTTCAACAACTTACTGTATACCATAAGAAAGAAAAATCCTACAGGATATTTGTCTATATGGCTTATATTCAGATGGTAGGTTTGTGTGATGACCTGAGGAAATGGAACTAGGAAAAAATTGTAAATAGGATGCAAATTGACTTAATTATTCATTGTTTTACGAATTGACTGCTATAGATATTCTGGTGAACCAATGTTTCATACTCTGGGGAGTCGAACCAATATCTTTTGTAAATTACTTTCTTAATGCCTAAATTCAATAATTGAAAATAATGATTTGCAGTCGTAAAGGTCCATGTCTTGTGTCTGAAGGACGCATCTTTCCTGTCTTTTTATAAATAATATCTCCTTATTAGAGCTACTAACGAATATATTATGTTTCTAGCACTGAGTTGGTATTGCAACCATTTTTTACTGGGGAGGATTTGCTCCACAAGAACGGTTTTTTTCCAGTTTCATATTGAATATTCTCACAAGTTGTGTACTAATCCTTAATTAAGCAGTCGTTTCCAAATGTTTTAACAGGTTGCTGAAGGCTTATGAAAACTTGAGAGGGGGGAATGGTGGGGGGTGTGGCAGGAGAGAGAAAAATAGTTTCAATTTTGCCCATTCCGAAAGTAAAAGGTGCTTTTGATTATCTTAAAGATGGTTCTAACTGTTTTGAGCAGACGTTTGTCACAGAGATTCACTGTAATTGCTGAACTAGCGGAAAAGGTGCATGTGCACAATGCAACTGGGCATCATTTTCTATAAACAACATTGATTCACACGGTGAGTATTGAGCACAAATTACATGGTTTATTTTTAAGTACAAAAGGATTTTGTCTTAAAATTTTTAATGTTCAACATCCCAAGTTCTGTTTTCAGAGATAGCAGTATGAATGCACTTGGATGTATCCTATGCAAGTAATGTCATTAGCAAGTAGATTTTTAGCCTTTGTTCAGCCTCGTACAATTTCAGAATGGAGTGAGAATCCCAGTAGGAAGGAATTTCATTCTAATATACAGGTCTTTTTAGTGTTAATATCGGTGAGGAAATGAGGCCTGTTTATGCTGAAGTTAAACTTGTCTTATGAATGCCATGTAAATAAAGCCTTAACACTCCCTACCCCCCCACCCACCACCACGTGTTATTGTAGTTCATTGTAGCTATGTGAGAAAACATATAAGTTAGCCTTTCTATCAGAGATAGTAGGAACTGCAGATGCTGGAAAATCTGAGATAACAAGGTGTAGAGCTGGATGAACACAGTGGGCCAAGCAGCATCATAGGAGCAGGAAGGCTGACATTTCGGGCCTAGACCCTTCATCAGAAAATCCAGAGGGAGGAGGGTAA